TGGGGATTGCAGGTTTTTTTTTTTTTTTTTGTTATCCTCTCATATATTCTCTGGGTTTAGTCTTATTCCTTGTTCTGTTTCTGGGCTTTTGTTCTTGAATTTCAAGGGATTCTTGGGTTTTCTCTTGCTTTTAAGATCTGTTTTGGTCATATTCTGCTGAAATTTCGACAGCATCATTTCATCTTATGAAGGATTTTCTCTCTGAACCAAAGAAGAAGTGGTCATCGTTATGATGCTCAAGGTTTCTCTAATTCTAGTTCTTCTTTCAATCTTCTCTGGTTCTTTTGAAGCAGCTGCCGAGCTTCACCGCCATGGTTATGAGAAGATTGCCAAGTCTAATTTCTCCACACTTTCCGGCATTGAATTGCCTGGTCATATGGCCTTCAATGCTGTTTCTTCATCAACAAGCAGTGATTGTAATCTTTCTAGACCAAAGGAACAATCACAGATGGTAGATTCAGAAGCACTAGAGGATGCTTCCCTCAGCGATGATGGTGATGAAATATATGGAGATGGGACAGAATCAGCAAAACCCCCGAAAGAAATGGTGAAGTTGCACTTGAAACGCCGGTCTGTGGATCCTGGGAATGAGCCTAAGAAATCTGTGGTTGAGTCAACAATGAGGGATTTGTCTAGAATTCAGACACTCCATAGGAGGGTTGTGGAAAAGAAGAACCAAAATACCATTTCAAGGCTAAGCAAAGATACGAAGCAACAATCCGTTGCGCCTGCAACCGCACCAGAATCTTACACAAGCCGCCAAATGGTGGCAACTCTGGAATCTGGTGTGAGTCTTGGATCTGGTGAGTACTTCATTGATGTGTTTATTGGTACTCCTGCTAAACACTTCTCTCTCATACTGGATACTGGTAGTGACCTTAATTGGATTCAATGTGTTCCTTGTTATGATTGTTTTGAGCAAAATGGACCTTATTATGATCCTAAGGATTCAGGTTCTTTTAGGAATATAAGTTGTCATGATGAGAGGTGTAATTTGGTGTCATCACCTGATCCCCCACAGCCTTGTAAAGCGGAGAACCAGACATGCCCATATTATTATTGGTATGGAGATAGTTCTAATACAACTGGAGATTTCGCACTAGAAACATTCACAGTTAATCTCACATCGCCCACTGGGAAATCAGAATTTATGCAAGTGGAAAATGTGATGTTTGGTTGTGGTCATTGGAATAGAGGCCTTTTCCATGGTGCTGCAGGTCTGTTGGGGTTTGGAAGAGGGCCTCTCTCTTTTTCATCCCAGTTGAAGTCTCTCTATGGTCATTCCTTTTCTTATTGTCTTGTGGATAGAAATAGCAACACCAGTGTGAGCAGCAAGTTGATTTTTGGGGAAGACAAGGATCTCTTGAACCACCCTAAGTTGAATTTCACTTCATTGGTTGCTGGTAAGGAAAATACTGTCGACACATTTTATTATGTCCAGATAAAATCAATCTTGGTTGGAGGAGAGGTGTTAAATATACCAGAAGAGACATGGCATTTATCATCTGATGGTGCTGGTGGTACAATTATTGATTCAGGCACCACACTCACTTATTTTGCAGATCCAGCATATGAGATCATTAAGGAAGCATTTGTTAAAAAAATAAAAGGGTATCCTGTTTTAAAAGATTTTCCGATCTTGGATCCCTGTTACAATGTGTCTGGGGTTGAAAAGATGGAGCTGCCTGAATTTGGCATCTTATTTGCAGATGGTGGTGTGTGGAATTTCCCAGTTGAGAACTACTTCATCCCGCTGGAGAAGGAAGTTGTTTGTTTGGCAATTCTGGGGACTCCTCGCTATGCCCTCTCAATTATTGGAAATTATCAGCAGCAGAACTTTCATATCTTGTATGACACAAAGAAGTCTAGGCTGGGGTATGCACCAATGAGCTGTGCTGATGTGTAGAATCTTGTTGAGAGTTGAGAGGGTGGGGGAACAAATTGTAAACATGAAGCTTCAGGGGAGGGGCATTCTTTTGAGTTTACCTTTCATAAGTAGAAATAACATACAAAAAACTAGATTCATTTTTTTCATTTTTGTGAGAAAACCACACAGGTCTAGCTTTACAGAAATGTATGTATGACTGCAAATGCATTCCTCAATGATAAATCAGAATCATTTCATGTTTATCTACAGATTTGAACTTTACTAATGTGTTTATAAATTGGAACTTGAACTCTTTGCATCCTTATTCATGGGGCATTTCTGCAGCATATTGTATGAGTATTTTCTGCTCCCTTCATAGCATTATTTTTTTTATTTAAAAGTCACATATTAAGTTTTAATTAATTCAGAGTCAAATCGAGTTGAACCTTTTATTTTTCTATTTATATTACTCAAACTTGAAATCTTATTTAAAAAAAAAAAAACTCTTTGTAATAAGGGCAACAGGCGTTAGGTTCTTCTCATAGCACTATTTTATTGATTATTAAATGGAATTGTGGTTTGTCTATTTCCTCAATAACTTTGACATTGATGTAGCTAAACAACATTGGTTCAACTTTTAGGTGGGTCTTAATGCGAGTAAAGAATAGTCAACTGTTAGGTATGGCACCTTATTTCTTTATTATTTTGTCCTTTTGGTCTTTTTTTAGGCTCTGGTTTGGTGAGAAAGAAAGCTAAAGTATAGAGATACAACTTTTCTACCTGTTACTTTTATATCCCTCCCACCAATCTTCCGTTTCTTTCAACTCCATGTTTGGATTCTGGGGAGAAGAAAGAAAGGGAAACCATACTCTTGTTTGGGAGAAAGTCAAAGTCATGTGGGAATCGTGACGGAAAAGCTTGGGAGAAGCAGTAGAAAGGAAAGTGATGTTAAGACTTCAGGAAACTCATACTTTTTCAGTTCATTTGGAATTCGTTGCTTAACAAAGATATCTAGGAAGTTACCTTTTGAAAAAAATAATAATAATAAAAGAAAGGAAAATGAAATTTAGGAATTTTGGCTAAAGAAGAAACATCAACAAAAGAAAAAGTCCAATTTAGTGACTCGGTTTCTGACCGCAAAGTTTGCCTTCCCCGCCCCCAAGGGCACACCTTAAATAATGTACAAGGCAGAACTGGTCGAAACTGGCTAACGAGAGGCATAGTTATTAGAATAAACTAGAAGTCACATGCAAACCTTAAAATGGTGGTAATTGGAGGTGTAGTTTTCCTTAGGGAGACTTTAATTTCATTTTAGTAGTGGATTTTTTTTTTTTTTTATGTTGGTTGTCAACTTTCTCTCATCTTTTATCTCACTTTATTCGCATATCATGTGATTTGAATTCAAAATTTTTTATTTTTAACGGAAAGACATTATCACTTAACCATGACCCTAACATTTAATAGTGTATCTCTAACCCCTACTTGAGTGATAGAATCTTTAACCCTAACATTTCTATTAATTCTATCACTCAAATAGGGGTTGCCCCTTTAAAAGAGGCACAATTAATTGTGTATAATTGGACACATAGGTTTTGCTTGGTTTAATTGTTAAGAATAATTGATAGTTATAATTGATAGAATAGTTAATATTCAATTACTTATAAAATCAATTTATAATATAATATTTCCAAACACTTTCTCTAACTAGTTGTGTAAAAGAAAAAAAAAAACACCTATACGATGATAAAACCAATGAAATCAAACACACCATTATTTAGTTTTTTTTTTTTTTTTAAATGCCAACGGGCCCTCACCACTCCTAAATTCTTTTCAAGTTCTTAGCAATTGAAATACTCTTAGAATCATGTACTTATTTAATTTACACAATTAATCTTTTTTATCTTTGGGCATCACTCCAGCTAAAATAAATTACAGTAGAATCTAATTCTTATAAAGCATGTAAAAGATAAGTTATCCCATCCAATAGCTAACAAATTAAGGCAATGAATGTAAGAAAAGTAACACAGTACAGCATAACACAACGCAATGCAGCAGCATTGACAAACAAAGGCTACCTCGGAACGTTGATTTTTTGTTTTTTTTTTTTTTGGGGGGGGGGGGGGGTTGTTTTCCTCCACTTATGCATGGGCTTTGTTAGCTTAAGAAATTGGGCTTACCAACTATAAACTACTGTACAATTGTAATGTTTTTATGGGCTTAGACTAACTTAAACTCGTGACCCAGCATACAATAACTGAATAACGTAGCGTTTCTAAATCCCTCTCGGTCGTCTTATTTATTAGTCTAGCGGTGGCGGAGAAGGTTACATCAAGATAACCGGGCAGCAGCAGCGGCGACGGCGGTGGCGGCAGCAGTTTCTTCCATCTCAGCCTCCAGAATGGTTACTTTGAGGGTCAGTAAGCATTTTAATTCGCCCCATTTTGTTTTCTTCGGAACACTTTCTGTGACGAAATTTTGATGGGTTTGATTTTCTCTTTTGTGGGTGCGTGAAAAACGAACAGTTTCACCAATACCAGGTTGTGGGGAGAGCTCTGCCGTCAGAAGCAGAAGAGCACCCAAAGATCTGCCGAATGAAGCTCTGGGCTACGAACGAGGTTCGTGCTAAATCAAAGTTCTGGTGCGTTTCCTGCCACTTCTTATAGTTTGACTTGTTTGGATGCTGGGAAATGTGGGAAAGTGACTGTTATATTACATGTAAACTATGATTTTGTTGTTGAAAAGCTATAAAAGAATTTACTTAAACCGTATTCATTATTGATTGTTAGTTGATAGTTGATATCAGTCATCTAGAAGTGCATTTTAATCTGGAGAGATACCCAAATTTACAAACAAGTTTACTGGTTTGCTGTAACTTATTTTTTAGGTATTTCTTGAGGAAGCTGAAGAAGGTCAAGAAAAGCAATGGACAAGTTTTGGCTATCAATGAGGTATTAATCATTAACTACAAATTATTTTCCTTATGTCTGTCAGGATGGGATATTTATTGTAAAAAGGTGTTATCTTACGTGAAATGTGCTTCTAAAATTTGATGGAAATTTGTTGTCTTTTCTTGGCATGGTCTTTATATCCAATAGTGAACCTAGACCTTGTCCTGATTACATTCTTTTTCAATCCAGTTGCTTTTTTTGGCTGCTTGCTGCTTTTTAGATGTGGGTGCTGGTTGAAGTCAGTTTATATGCACTGACCCTATGGAAAACGCTACACTAGTATTTATCATTATTATATATAGCTGAACAATGTGAGTGTTGGAATTAACACTTTTTTTGGGGAAGCTTGGTTTAGTTTCTATGACTTTGGTTGATATATATCTTGGCATATTTGGAACTTTAACGTGTCTACCTTATCTTGAACTACATAAGAAAGTCATGTCATCTTAAATATTTGCCATGGTCAACTCACAGATAAGCTCAAGTGAGCTCATGTTGAGCTTGATTGTCACAAGATTTGGTTGAGCTAAGCTTGAATTTTGTTGCTGAGCTTATTTACTGTTCCATCTCTAGTCTATAATCTCCTTGTAATCTGCAAATGGTGGGAGATATTTGGACTACTCACCTTTCTGAGATTGTCTATTGGCAACAGATTCTTTAACCATCAATTAATCATTTATTGTAGATTTTACTCCTGTATGCTTTTTAATGTAAATTTCTTACCTTTTCTAATTTTATGGATACCTTTAAATTTAAATTCTATTTCGATTGAAAGATATTGAGATTCAAAGAGCATAACTTAATGGAGTGTCTGTTCAAAGTCGTCTAAGCCTGTCTCTTTACCTTTAAATAACTGCATAAAAACAAGCTTTAAATGAGCTTTTCTTAAATTTTCACTATCTTTTTAGTATGCTGTTAGACTAAGTTTTGTTCAATATGCCGATGATATTTGTTCATCAATAACAAGACTCAAATCCCTTGAGTCAAGCTTGAGTGTTTATCAAATGAATATGGTAACTAAGTTCACAATTGCTTATTAAGCTTTTCTAGAAAATCAAGCATGGTTTGTACTTTGCTGATTGTTGAGCAATTTGACAAACAGCTTTTATGAGTTCTAGCCTTCTAGGTAGAGCCAACCCTTGTCGGTTTTTGTTATCTGAAGTCTTATTTTATTAATGTCTTGAGCAAGGTTTCCATTGTGCTGTGGTTCTGCTTGTTTCTATCATAGTGAGATTAAGCTCTAATGGTGATACACCTTTTATTGCAGATATTTGAGAAGAATCCAACAAAGATCAAGAATTATGGAATTTGGCTGCGTTATCAAAGTCGAACTGGTTATCACAATATGTACAAGGAATACCGTGATACAACTCTGAATGGTGCTGTTGAACAGATGTATAATGAGATGGCTTCTCGTCACAGGGTGAGGTTTCCTTGCATTCAAATTATTAAGACAGCTACCATCCCGGCAAAACTTTGCAAGAGGGAGAGCACTAAGCAGTTCCATGATTCTAAAATCAAATTCCCATCGGTGTTCAAGAAGGTGAGGCCCCCAACTAGGAAGCTTAAGACTACATACAAGGCATCCAGGCCGAACTTGTTCATGTAGTTCTCGTGGTAACTTGTGGTAGCCTCTGTTTTGGTTGATTGCCTAAGCCTTCCTAGTTAGTAGATAGAGGATTTATATTTTTTCTTAAATTTTAGAGGACATTGTGGTTTGATGAGTTTTTAAGTATGGATTTTTTGAATTTTCAGGAATTTGAATTTCTATGTTTGAGCAGCCCTTATATGGATCTATTTATGAATATATTATGAAAAAAAGTTTTGCCAGTTGGGACTGGCACAATCATCCCCATACACGAGGATTGATAAATAGGGGCTGTTTTGCGGAGCTTTTATGAATATTGATCATTAGCTAATAAGCAAATTCTTCTTGATGAAAACCTTGGGAGGGGAAGTTCTCGAAAATCCTTCAGCCTTTTTTATTTTTTATTTTTGGCTAAAAGCTAAGTTTTTCCTCAAAATTTTTAGACTGAGATGAGCTGAGAAAAAAAATTATTTTTTAGCAAATTTAAACTTAATTCATCTCTATGATAACGCATTATAAATTGCAAATTTTAAAATGATATTACATGTTATTTATTTTGTATGGATGGAGAAGATGATGCCATGTTAGATCTACTATCTTGGAGCTTGATAGATTACTTGCCACATGGAGAATTGATTGCGGGCCGATTGGGATTATCCTTTGAGTCGCCAACTTGATTTGAATTAAACAACTACTACATTTTATGAGAAATCTTAGCTTAAGAGATAAGGTTGGCAGACGTTTAGGGGTACACCAGATGACTCTTTTTCCATAAAGTTGGCTTTTGATTTAATCCAATCACAACACCATCTATCAATACCCGAGTTACCTTGGATGTGGGTCTGGAAGTTACAGTGTTCGGAAAGAGTTTGAATATTTGTGTGGCTCCTCTTGCGCAATAGGGTCCTTGTGAATGCAATCCATTTTGATAGACACGTGACAAACTCACCGTCTTGTCCTTGGTGCAACCTCTCTAAAACTCCTTTACGCATGTCACATGATTTTTTTTTTTTTTTTTAAATTTTAATAAATTGCTTTTGGGAAGTACATGGTAATTTTAATGAAAGCACGAAAATATATATATATATTTAAAATGTACTCAACAATTGATATTTGTAAAATTATGGGCTTAAGAGTCATATTTTTCTATAAATAATTTTATACATGTTCATTCTATTGATTGTGCAATTTTTTTTATGATTAAATGCATAAAATTAGAAGAAAATGACTTAAATGCAAAGAGTTAGAGAGATGATGGTTTAAGGGTCAAATAATATGTATGAATAGATTATTGTATTCTTTATTGAAATTAATCTTTAAAAATAAATATGTTTGTTATTATTATCGATCTTCAAAGTCATATCTTTTGATTTTTTGTTTAAGATGTGAAACATACAATTAAGTAATAAATAAAAATCAAAATTGACAACAATTGAATAAATCTATTAATTTACCCTAAAGCCTTATTCATCTTAATATTGTTTTTCACTCTTTTATCATTATCAATTTATTCAAATATTCTTCTTCTTAATTTGAGTAAATTATTTTCTTAAATTTAAGTGCCAGTTGTAAAAATTCTTTTTTTGTTAGTTTAAAATAGTTTCTTTATGGATTTAACGTCTAAATTTATGTTAAAATAACCGTTTTACCAAAAGATATTAATTTTGGGTGAGACAAATTTAAATGATATGTCTTTTTAGAAGGATCTCTTTCCTAGATTAAGAGAGAATGACAAGTCAGAGGTGAGGTTCAATCAAGCTCGGGTTCTTCATAAAACTAGCTTTCTTTTAGTAATCTGGTTTCTTTGGAAGTGTAGAAATCGTTGGGTTTTGAACAAGAGCAAGTCCCCTCCTCTATTTGTTTTGATAAAGTCATATGTCATGCCAAGGATACACACCTAGTAATAGTTTCCAACATTTTTGTTTGAATTGAGGATTCCCATTGGGTAAGTTGGCATTTATCGGATTCATCCTGGTACAAGATTAACATGTATGATGCTCTTTTTCATGCTTTCGGGTGTGCATGCGCTGGGGGATAATTAGGGATGCTAGAGCAACTTGAATTCAAGGCTTCTTTACAAATATTGGTTAGCTTTCTATCTTTATGGCTGAGCTATGGGTCTCAATGTAAGCATGAATTTGTGCAAGTTAAGGGTATATTGCATCTGGTCATGGTGCATAACATTTTTGCTGGGCTAAATTTAATTTTTCATCTACTAACTATTACCCTCTTTTCATTTTAGTCTAGAAAGTTTAGTTTCTTTCAAAATCATCTATAAACTTTAAAAATCATTTCAAATTCATCTATCTAACAAACTTCCATTAGTGTTTTTAACGGAATCCTATGGGATGTTGACATGGCACCAATTATGTGGTATATGCAATTTTAAAAAATTACACTTTAACTCCCAAAATTTCACAAAATTTTCAATTAAGTTTTATATCCAAACCATTCCACAATACAATTTACTACCTAAGTCCTTAAATGGACTAAATTAAAATTAATCAAAACTAATGATAAATAATTAAGATTGTTAGCTTAATTTGTTAATTAATTAAGATTATAATATTATTTATATCAAATTAAAATTTAAAAAAATCTTTGACATGTAAAAATTTTTAAAATGTATTTTCTCTATCTTAAAATAATAAAGATTTTTGAATTTATTTTTAAATTAAGGATTTAGAAACAATTTCTATTATTACATATTTTATCCTTAAAAAAGAAATAAAAATAAAGAATCTTTTTAAGAATAATGATAAATATAACCAAAATTTGAGACTAAAATTTGAGATTTAAAATTTAACTAATGTTATGTTATTTAAATATTAAAAAGTGGATCTTATATTATTTAATGATTAATTCTTTTTTTAGGACATGTGATATTGTAGATAATAATAAGGTTAAAGTAAAAGAATTTGTTTGTTTATCATAAAAAATAAAAAATAATAATCAATTCAAGACAAATTTAAAATTATAAAGCGATAATTTTTTTGGGACAAATAGAGTAATGTATTCCCTACATTCTTCATTTAAATTTTTAGAAATAATTATCACTCTATAATTTCAAATTTGTCTTGAATTAATTATTATTTTTTATTTTTTAAGATAAACAATTTTTTTTTTTACTTTACAAATATTTTTTTACTTTAACCTTATTATTATCTACAATATTACATGTCCTAAAAAAGATAATCATTAAATAATATAAGATCTACATTTTAATATTTTAAATAACATAATATTAGTTAAATTTTAGTCTCAAATTTTAGTCCCAAATTTTGGTCCTATTTATCATTATTCTTAAAAAGGTTCTTTATTTTTATTTCTTTTTTAAGGATAAAATATGTAATAATAGAAATTGTTTCTAAATCCTTAATTTAAAGATAAATTCAAAAATGTTTATTATTTTAAGATAGAGAAAATATATTTTTAATTTACATGTAAAAGATTTTTTTAAAATTTTAATTTGATAAAAAATAATATTATAATATTAATTAATTAACAACTTAAGCTAACAATCTTAATTATTTATCATTAGTTTTGATTAATTTTAATTTAGTCCATTTAAGGATTAGTTAGTAAAGTATATTGTGGAATGGTTTGAATATAAAACTTAATTGAAAATTTTGTAAAATTTTTGGGGTTAAAGTGTAATTTTTCAAAACTGCATATACCACATAATTGGTGCCACATCAGCATCCCATAGGATTCCGTTAAAAACACTAATGGAAGTTTGTTAGATGGATGAATTTGAAATGATTTTCAAAGTTTATAAATGATTTTGAAAGAAACTAAACTTTCTAGACTCAAATGAAAAGAGAGTAATAGTTAGTAGATGAAAAATTTTATTTAGCCATTTTTGCTGCTTTGCAAATCATAGGTGAAGAGCATGTGGTGGATCATCCTGCCGTGAAGGTTGAAAGATAGCCTTGAAGGTTGCACCATTCATCACACTTTACAAGAATATGGAAGAATTCATGGCAGCATTGGGACATCACTTACTTTTGGGATTGACTCTTTTTTAAGAGCCACTAGTTGGCACAGCTTCCATTCTGCTTGCAGACAGTTTGGGCCTCGATTTTTGTGTGATAATTGTCGTTTCAGTTTTTTAATTTTTGATATACCAAAATAAATTTATCATTTGCCAATTTGAGTAAACATTATGTAAAGCATAAGTTGGTAATACCTTATAGTATTTTAAAGATTTAAAATTAAAAACTAAATCAATGTATCATTTTTATACATAAATAATATTTTATGATTTTTTATAGAATTTGAAATTTGGATGAGTTAGTATCTTAATTTGAAGGTTAAGATATTACTATCATTTAAATGTACTATTAATAAATTAAAAAATAAAAATTAAAAAAATTAAAAATATGAATTGATTAGAAACAAAATAACCACAAAACTAAAAGTTAATACTCTAAAAACTTTCTCGAGGCACGATAGTGAACAATCATTCGCTAACATGCACCATTGCTCCTAGCTGCAACACTAGTTTAATGTAGAAGAAGAAGAACGGTCAATTGCCGAAGGAGGTATTTCGGGTTGAGCTTGAGAAGATTGTAGATAAGCTTAGGACCACGGTAGAAGGAATTGACAATGTGCTAGCTACAGGAATGGGAGATGTGATAGCTAGTTCCTTATATGATGGTCTAGTCGAGATAGTTGAAGTTGTGGATTCTAAGTCTATAGAATTGACTTAAGGAAACCGCATTGAAGTTGAATCTATGCTTGTTAAGGACACTGAGAAAGTTTTCTAGAGTGGCATTGCAGATTTAGAGCAAAGTGCAATTGAGAAGGGAAAAGCTGAGATTATAGCAACTAAATTAGGGATTTTGTAGGACAAATTGGTGAACCCGAAGCCTCCAAGGAGAGCTTGTGCTAATATGGTCAAGGGTAATCCCTTACGATATGTGCTTTATGATGAGAAAGCAAATGCAATGGTTGTTACTAAAGAAGAATGGAAGATGTGATAGCTAGTTCTCTATGTGATGGTCCAATGGAGATAGTTGAAGTTGTGGATTCTAAGTCTATAGAAGTGACTTAAGGAAACCGCATTGAAGTTGAATCTATGCTTGTTAAGGAAAAGGACACTGAGAAAGTTTTCTAGAGTGACATTGCAGATTTAGAGCAAAGTGCAATTGAGAAGGGAAAAGCTGAGATTATAGCAACTAAATTA